CCTGGGCAGGGATCTGTATGAAATCTCCCTGCAGATGGAACGGGTTGCACACAGCAGGGCAAAGAGGGAGAAATCATCACCCCAGGATCCTCTTGAGTACAGTGTGGCTGACGAGGAAACGGAATGGCTCCAGTCCTTTCTCCTTCTTTTATTCCAAGCTCTGAAGCAGCATCCTCCCTTGCTCCTGGACACGGTGAAGAACTTCTGTGATATTCTGAATCCTTTGGACCAGCTGGGGATCTATAAGTCCAATCCTGGCATCATTGGACTTGGAGGTCTCGTGTCCTCTATAGCAGGCATGATCACTGTGGCATATCCTCAGATGAAGCTGAAGACCCCCTAGGGTGTTTCAGATTGAGAACTAGTACCTGCTTTAAAAGATGACCTCTTAGTGGATCAGACATTTGTATTAATCACAGGCCATGCCAGACTGTGCTTCAGTTCTTGGTCATGTGAGCATTTAGCGACCTGTGATGTGAGCAGAGGTGGGGCCAAGAATGGAGAAGGGGGGAGCATGAAGATTTATATGTGTTTTTTTAGAGTGCTGGAGTGACTTGAGAATTTCAGAATATTTTCCCTTCACCTAACATTTATTTAGCATCTCTTATGGCATAGTAGGAGCTTAGTGTTTGCTAAATGAATAAAAATTGAAAGGGGAGAAATTGAAAAAGAACCAATCAAACTAATAAGTGAACACTAATAAACAGTAACTTTTGGGTTGTATGAATCATTGACTTCACATGACTACAGTAGGTCTGGTGCATAGCACTCTCAGGTCTGGTAGAGGCCCTTTTTTTCTCTTATCAGTTATACCTTTGCCCCCGCCACATACACACACCCCATAGACGTCAGTAGCAGGATGGAAAGGAGCTGGGCTAATAGCTTCTTAACTTGTTGGCCCTTACCATCTCTGCACTAATTAATGTCCTTGCTATGTCCAGAAGTAGAATCAGAAAGGCATCAGGCACTTTCATGGTATAAATTGTGTCTATGGGGAGAAGTCTTTAGGTAGTGCAGTGAATAAAAATCAGAAGCACACAGAAGGGAGATTAGATTAAAAAAAAAAAAAAGAGGCTGGGCATGGTGGTTCACATCTGTAATCCTAGCACTCTGGGAGGCCAAGGCAAGTGGATTGTTTGTGCTCAGAAGTTCGAGACCAGCCTGAGCAAAAATGAGACTCCATCTCTACTGAAAAAAAATAGAAATTAGCTGGACAACTAAAAAAATATATATGTATATATATAAAATATATATATATAATAGCCAGACATGGTGGCGAATGCCTATAGTCCCAGCTACCCGGGAGGCTGAGGCAGGAGGATCACTTGAGCCCAGGAGTTTGAGGTTGCTGTGAGCTAGGCTGACACCATGGCACCCTAACTCGGAAAATAGAGTGAGACTCTGTCTCAAAAAAAAAAAGTAGAGGGTCACAATGTATGTAACCTGTGACAGGTAAGGAAACTGACACACACAAAAACAAGCCAAAAAAACTCCCGAGGCCAGAACCTTATCCTATATCTTCCAATCCAGTGTTCTTTCCATAATATCTCACTGTCTTCAAGATTGAGTAGAAGTCTGAGTCTTTCCAGAATTCTGTGCTTTTTGCCTCTTACCCTCCCCAAATTTGGAGCTCTCATTGATAAGGGGATTATACTCTACAAAAATTAAAACCATATCTATATTTATCAGCTAGATTGTTTTATTTAAAGCCTTATAGCAGTTTGGGCGATTCTATGTTAATAAAAAATTTATGGCCAGGTGCGGTGGCTCTCGCCTGTAATCCTAGCACTCTGGGAGGCCAAGGCGGGTGGATTGCTCAAGGTCAGGAGTTCGAAGAGCAAGAGCGAGACCCCGTCTCTACTATAAATAGAAATTAATTGGCCAACTAATATAAATATATATATATATAGAGAGAGAGAGAGAAAATTAGCCGGGCATGGTGGCACATGCCTGTAGTCCCAACTACTCGGGAGGCTGAGGCAGAAGGATTGTTTTGAGCCCAGGAGTTTGAGGTTGCTGTGAGCTAGGCTGACGCCACAGCACTCACTCTAGCCTGGGCAACAAACCGAGACACTGTCTCAAAAAAAAAAGAAAATTTATGTAGGCCGGGTGCAGTGGCTCATGCCTGTAATACTAGCACTCTGGGAGGCCGAGGCAGGCGGACTGCTCAAGGTCAGAAGTTCAAAACCAGCCTGAGCCAGAGCAAGACCCTGTCTCTACTATAAATAGAAAAGAAATAATTGGCCAACAAATATATATAGAAAAAATTAGCTGGGCATAGTGGCGCATGCCTGTAGTCCCAGCTACTTGGGAGGCTGAGGCAGGAGGATTGCTTTGAGCCCAGGAGTTTGAGGTTGCTGTGAGCTAGGCTGATGCCACGGCACTCACTCTAGCTTGGGCAGCAAAGTGAGACTCTGTCTCAAAAAAAAAAAAAAAAAGATAAATTATGTGGTTAAAAAATTCCATGAATACTCTGAATGTAGTAGGGTCATAATTTTCCATAATAAATTAGACTTATTCATAGGATTGTTGGGGGAGATGGGATAGAGCAGTAAGGGGCCCATGAAGAGGACATTAGAATATTGAGCCAATGACGCTGACCCATATTCCTACTTCCCATCTTGGTTGTTGGGTCCTTACATGTGGTTAGAGATCCTTTAGTTTGAGGGAGGTGAGGTGGAAAAATGCCAGCAGTTAGGCGACCAATGTCAGTTTTAGCAGCAAAGCCATGTCATTTTATCTGAATGGAAATGAGAAAAATATGCACTCAGTTAAATTGCCCAGAAGTGTGATTGAGATTCTCAAAAATAGATCTGTGGCTCTCTATTTAAAGTGACCAATCAAGATACGGGATTTGAGAAAGAATAATTTGGAAATTTTAAAGGAACTGAAAGCTACTAGATCAGGGCAAATAAAAAGTTTAAATAACTATTTTTACTTTGTCCAGATCCTCTACTGTAATATTAATAGATTAATTATGTCCAATAAACTTCTAGACAAAATTGACTCGTGTGTCTGTTAATGTGTTCTAGGAACACCCCCAAACCTCTACATTCATGAGGGATTCCAAAAATCAAAGAAGTTCCTAATAGATATACAGGCCAGCACATTCACAACTGAATATTGTTGCCTGAGAATTCATTTATTCAACAGTGAATGTTGAATGTTTGAGTGCGACACATGGTTTTGGGGACCTACTTGTGAACAAGATGGCCAAAGTCCCTGCTCCCAGGCGGTGGAGGGGTAGGGGGCACAGGTGGGGATAGGGAAGGAAAGAGGGTACAACTCTCTGCCTTGCAAGCTGCTGCTGGAAAACTGACTCTTCCCTTGGGACCCCCCTAGGCCCTTTCACCACCGTTCACCTCTCACCTACAATCTGTACTCCCAGCTAACGCGGCCAAAGGACCGGCTTAGTCAGCAGAGCTTTCAGGCACAGAGCCCTCTACTCCCTCTGGCCTACCGCCAGTACTCCAAAGGCTGAAACTGCCTTTTGGCCCAGGTTGCTGTCCAGACAGCCTCACAAATAATTTGTCCTGAACCTTGAAATGGGGGCAGAGGCCACTTTTTAGATACTTCCCTTCCTCTCCATGACTGTCTGATATATCAAAAGCCGAGGTTGGATCAATAAGTATTAAACATATCTCATATTTATTACTCCTTTTGGAGGTTTCCTGCTTGACTCTTTCCTTCCTTTCCTGACTTCTCTATTATATCACAGAGACAGAATTTATCACCAAGGATCTGTCATAAGGCACTGTTTCTCCCCAGCCCCTGCTCTTTCTCCTGTTGCCTGCCGCATGTGACTTAGCAGAGAGTCAACGATACATAATAATTCTAGCAATAATGGAAATAAGTTTTATCCTCCTATTATCCGTTTTAATTGAGAGACCCTTAATAATCTGAAAACGATGGTGTATACCTCAGTATTCCATCATCTTTGAAGCCAGGAACTCGAACTTGGGTTTGTGCTTAAGTCCTTGCTAAGGAAGGGAATGAGAGGTGATATTTCTTGGTTGTCTGGGTGCTACTGATTGGTAATAGAACCTTGGTCAACACTGTTACTTCTCAGCCAGGCTCATGCCTATAATCCTAGCACTCTGGGAGGCCAAGGCAGGCAGATTGCTCGAGGTCAGGTTCGAAACCAGCCTGAGCAAGAACAAGACCCCGTCTCTACTAAAAATAGAAAGAAATTAATTGGCCAACTCAAATATATAGAAAAAAATTAGCCGGGCATGGTGGCGCATGCCTGTAGTCCCAGCTACTCGGGAGGCTGAGGCAGCAGGATTGCTTGAACCCAGGAGTTTGAGGTTGCTGTGAGCTAGGCTGGCACCACGGCACTCTAGCCTGGGAAACAGAGTGAGACTCTGTCTCAAAAAACAAACAAATCCACTTCTCTGAGCTTAGGAGAACAAAAATCCAGTTCTCTCTCTCACTGCCCATGCTAATGACATCTTAGGCCAGGTAATGTTCAATGAATTTTCCTCAACTCTAGGAATTTATAGAGATTGAAATTGCTCCCTCAAAGGCTAGATTGTTAAGGACTCATCCCCCAGCTCTCTCTCTTTCTCACTGAGGGCAATTTATTTCCATAATCAAGGACTAGTACATTCAGGCGAACTCTATTCCTGTGTGGGCTTAAATTTTACTGTTCAATATTCATTCTTGTTATTAAGAAAGGATAGGAGGAATGGGTTGACAATTGTCCCAGAAGACCCTCTGTGAAAAAGGAGCCAAAGATCACAGAATTATATAGAATTTTAGGGCTTATGAGTTTAATGACATATATCAATACTTTCTTTCTGGAAAGCAGTTTTTTTTGTCTGAATTGAGGGCTAGAAACATAATAGAACTAATGCTTCATGGCTCTGGAATACTAAATCCTTAGAGCCTTGATCTCCTTCAACTCTGTCATCTACTTCCTCATTGGCTAAATGTCCTTGCAGAAGTTAGGCTCTGCCCAGGGGACCTTGGGTCTATCTAACCTTGGGTTAGATAACTGGCTGACCTCGCTTTCTCTTCCTCTCTGCCCCCCTCTAGCTAGGAGACTGTTCGTTAGTAGCATTGCTCAAGCCTCCCTGGAGTGACTGGAATCGTTTCTGTCGAGGAGGCTCTGCAGCCTGGCTCTGTGAGACTGAGGTGGGGGTCCGCTGCAGTGAGTGTGGGGTCCTGGGGCATCTGCCTTTCCTGGCTTGTTTATGAGCATTAAAGGGAAGAAGTTGAGGGTAAGGGCCTCTTGGGAATTTTACTGGGAATAAAGGGAAACTACTGAGGAAGAGACTCAAGGTGAATGACTGGGAGAATAGAGTAGCTCTTCTGGGGTCTGGGATCACTGCCTTTTCCAGAATGCCGCTGAAATAGCTGGTTTGAAGAGTGGCTGCTTTCTCACCTGGCTGAGCATAGAGGGAAGGACTGGCATGGATGCTTGCTTAGAAAAAGAGGAATTAACCCAGTGATTTTTCATTTGGGAGGGGGGGAGACTAAAGCTGAAACTTGTTATTTTATTTTATTTTTTTATTTTTTGGAGATGGGGGTCTCACTGTGTTGCCCAGGCTGGTCTGGAACTCCTGGGCTTAAGCGATCCTCCAGCCTCATCCTCCCAAGTAGCTGAGACTACAGGCATGTGCCACCATGCCTGCCTTGAAACTTGTTCTTTTAGTCTCTTTTGGATCCTCATTTTAGAGCCCCAAGACTTCATCTAAAACCTTTTGTCTCTATGGCTGTCTGCATTTGTCATTTCTTACCCTGAGCCTTTACAAGAAACATCAGTCTTGACAAGCAGGCTGTGGAGCAACTGGTTGCTATGGGGCTCTAAGGAGTGGCCTCTGTGTGTGACATTTACCCTTCAAACGAATGCCTTCTATTCAGGAAAACTGAGCTCCCAGGCAGCCTGGGCCCAGTTGGTGGCCATGAGAGGTAGGGCACTGCCCTGTGGATCTCAAGCCTGAGGGCTGCTGGGACCTGGCACTCTCTGCTTTGCAGCTGGAAGAGCGAGGATGGCAGTCAACAAGGACCCCACCCTGCTGGACGAAGACTTCCCTGTAAGTAACGTGGGCACATGTGAGACAGGGCACGGGCAAGTGAGGAGGGAGGAAGGAGCAGGGAGGGGAGAGGAAGGGGATGTAGAGTAAGATATGTCCAGATTATAATCCTAGTTCATCAACTACCGTATCTTAGTTATTCTTGCCCTCCCTACCTTTGTAGGGGGCTGTTGGAATATCTGAGGGAGGGGGAAAAAGATGCCTATTAAAAATTAAGCACCTTGGAGAAAAAGGACAGACATCCTGGCTGAGGGGCAGGACGAATGGGGAAGAAGGGAACTGCCATCTTCTGAACCCTGATGCAGCCCGTGCTCTGCACCTCCCAGCTGGGTGTGTTTCCAGCACAGAGCCCCTATGCTCTCCAACTCCGGTGTCATTCATGTGGTGGAGGGCACTTCCCGGAGTTGGATGGTGCACAGCCTCTGCTGCCGTGTGTGGGGACCGGCTGGATGTTCAGGGTGTCCGGTGTTGTGTTTCTGACTTGGTTTTCACCGTGACTTAGAATGGTTTTGATGCTTCTAGGTACACTTGATGCTGCCTGATTTGGGCACAGTTGAGATAGTTAAACTTAAAAATTATGAACCTGTACAATATCTGCCTTGTCCCAAGGTAGGCTCTAACTAACCTTTGCATTAGGAATTGCTGTGGTAAGTTTTGTGTTGGACCGTAGAGAAAGGCATAAGATGGTCAGGTGCGTAGTTAAGCCATCCTAGCCGACGGTGCTTTCTTCCCTCCCAGGACCTCTTTCCCACTTTGGCTCTGTGTAAAACAACCCCCAAAGGCTCCATCCAAAATGTTAGGGAATGTTTTCTTGTTTTTAGTCAAAGTATTTTTCTAGTTCAAATTTAAAACCTGCCTGTGGATAAAAAGCTACACTATGTGGCCTGTTTTGTCTCGTGTCCACGTGGGTCTCCTTGATGGATCTTCTAACGCTGTCACCTGCAAACAGAACAGGCGAGGTCCCCACCTGCAGAGCAGAACCAAGCCACAGCATCATAGTTAAAGCTACACAAGAGCTCAAACATCTGAGTCAGACCTGGACAGTTTTCTCCTTTTAACTTTTATGTGGAGAATTGTTAACATTCCTAAGAGTAGACGGAAGCCCCATGTACCCTTTACTAGCCCCAACAACCATGCATCGTGGCCGGGCCTGCCTCATCCTCCCCCCATCAATTCCTCTGCCCTGTGTTATGTTGAAGCAAATCCCCATGTAGGCCATTTCAGACTTGACTTGGAATCCTGACTGTGCCACTTACTCTCTCTGTGATCTTCAGCAAATGTCTTCACATCTCTGAGTCTGTCTCCTCATTGGCAAAGCAGTGCTGATAATGGGCTGCTTGAATTAAGTGAGGTCATGTCACCAAGGCACACAGGCCAGCACCTGAAGCATAATGGCACCTAGAAAATTTTGTTGCCCTCTGCATGACTAGAATCTATTGTTTTACTTAAAGACCGGTGTGTTTTCACTAAGGTTCCTAGGTGATCTAACGCTTAGTTATATGACTGCTGCCAAAGTGAAATGCATCAATAAGGGCACAGCACCCCAATAATGAGAAGTGATGGTTCCACTACACCCTGCATACTCAGACCACACCTGGAGTTCTGTCTTCCAGCTTGAGTGCTATATTTTTAAGAAAGCCAACATTTTTAAGAGGCCAGGTATGATGGCTCACGCCTGTAATCCTAGCACTTTGGGAGGCCAAGGCAGGAGGACTGCTTGACCAGCTTAGACAACATTAGCAAGACACTGTCTCTATGAAAAATTAGCCGAGCATGGTGGCGTGTGCATGTAGTCCTACTCAGGAGGCTGAGATAGGAGGATCACTTGAGCCCAGGAGTTTGAGCTTGTAGTGAGCTATGATGATGCCACAGCACTCCAGCCTGGGCAACAGAGTGAGATCCTGTCTCAAAAAAAAAAAAAAAAAGAAAAAAAGAAAAGAAAAAGAAAGCCAACATGAAACTGGAGGGGTTCACAGACCATGGTGTGAACCGTTAATAAACTAAGCTGGAACTATTTGGTGTTCCAAAGAGCTATTTGGTGTGGAGAAGGGACCTCTGAAGGGAGATGTCTTTGACTTCAAATATGTGTAGGGCCAACCCATGAATGGTAAATAGATTTGCTCAGTGCTGTTCCAGGGGGCAGAGAGTGAGACAGGTGAAAGTGGTTTGTCCAACAAGGGGCCCAGGCCACACTAAGAGAGAGCCCTCCCATCCAGGGAGACATTGACATACAAGTCTACCAGAGAAAGGATTCTGGCTGCAGAGTCCCCCAGAGGCCTCAGATTCTGTGATGCTACATAGTTGGGCAGATTTAAACTCACACGTTCTACTAGGTACTGCCCTGACTATGATTCATTTATCCGACTAACACTACGTGCCACACTTTAGGCCGGGCACTGGGGATACAGAGATGACAGTGTACTGGGAGAGAGAGAGAGACAAGTCCTCACATAATCACAGCACAGTGTGACAAATGTAGAGACAGCCCAGGGAAGGAAGCAGTGGCTTCTGATGTGAGGGAGGAGAGTCAGGAAGCTTCACAGATGAAGGGACGGTCCCCTGAGTGTTGAGGGCATGGCATTCCGCCAGGCAGCAAGGGCCGTGGGAGGAAGGTGAGCGTTCTAGGCAGCGGGGCCAGCGTACACAGGCAGTGTCTCAGAAAGGCCAGAAAACTGTCCAGATGAAGCCACTGATCTCAGGTGGCCTGGAACTCTGGATGTCACAACACTTGCTGCCTACCAGTAAATTGGGATGGGGTGGGGGGATAGGTTGGGCAGGGACAGGATTTGGCTTGGCCCCTGGAGACCAGAGATTGGCTCAGCGGCTCTCCAGAGCCTGGCTGGTGACCAGGAGGGCCTGGCAGGCTGGCTCTCGTGTTCCCTGTGGACAACCCCATGCTCCCGTGGTTGGGGCATCCAGAGACCTCTTTGGCCCTGGTTCCTCCCAGGCCACTGGGACTCAGGCTAGCCTCACCCTTGGTCTCCATGAGCCTGGGGTCACCTTCCTGGGAGGTCAGAGAGGGAAGTGGGACAACTTGAATGTGTTCCTTCCATGCCAGGAGCAGGAGAACGTGCTGCAGCGGGTCCTGCAGCTGCCTGTGGTGAGTGGCACCTGTGAGTGCGTCCAGAAGACCTACACCAGCACCAAGGAAGCCCACCCCCTGGTGGCCTCTGTGTGCAATGCCTACGAGAAGGGCGTGCAGGGCGCCAGCAGCTTTGCTGCCTGGAGCATGGAGCCGGTGGTCCGCAGGCTGTCCACCCAGTGTGAGTCCTGCGGCATTCAGCCGCCGCCTGTTCCCTGACGCTCACCGCCTGCCTGCCAGACTGTCTGCCCGCCAGTCTGTCTGCCCGCCAGTCTGTCTGACCGTCAGTCTGTCTGACCGTCAGTCTGTCTGACCGTCTGATAGCTTGCCTGCTTGCCTGCCTGCCTGCCTAGCTGCCTCCATCCCTTTACATTGTCTTCTCTTCTGTAGATATAAAGATGCAGACACAGATCTCTTTTCATCTATAGATGCCTCATCTGTGGCCCGCTGGCATCTTCCTAGGGTAACAGTGAGGGGCCAAAGAGTCTGCAGGGGTAGGGAAGGGCAGCGCTGCGCGGGCGTGGCGAGAGGGGCCCGGGGCTGACCAGGTGCCCCCTCTAGCAGCAGCCACAGCAGCGAGAATTAGCGGTCTGGCCCAGAGGCAGGAGGAGCGGGCGGAGGGCTGGCCTGGCAGGGCTGGAGGGCCTGCAGGGAGTGGAGGAGGAGCCCTCTGGGTCTAGCGGCTGATGGTGGCGGCTCGTGACAGGCGGGGGCAGCAGAGAGCCACCAGCCAGGGTCCTGGAGGTGGAGGACAACCCTCCACGCAGGCCCTGCAAGGTGTGCCCTGTTCAAATTGCTCTGCCCCATCTGAAAATATGGTCTCCAAGGTGTAGCTCTTGACAGGGCTGAGGGAAATAGCAGTAATGCTAAGGCATCTAGCACCTTCCGCCATCCTACTGAGAGAATTATGAGTATCTGAGGATACCTAACGCAAATACATAAAGAAGGCCCAGGCCATGGGCTAGCCTCCCTGCCTGCAAGCTCCTCAAAAACTTTCCCTGGGACTCATCCTGCCCAATCAGAAGATAGGTCATCTGGGCTCTCTAGTGCTTGAGAATTTCGTAAAGAAAAACAAGATACCTGCAGAAGGAAAGAGCATATAGAACCCTCCTTTAAACCGCGACGTGCATGACCTGACTGCACAGCTGATGTCCCGGCAGCCCGGGCCGTGTCCCCTTGAAGCATTCAGGTCCTCTGGTGCTAGCCCTGCTGTCTGGCGGAAGCCCTTTCTCTCCCCTGTGACCCTCTGCTTACAGCTGACCATCTCAACTCCTAGTGGTTAAAAAGAAGCGTCTCAGCCTGGGGCCTGCACTGGCTACAGTTGGGATTTGTCACCTGGGGAGCTCGGCAGGCCCAGGCCTGGTCCCACCAAGGCCCAACCCGGAAGCCCTGTGGCCACCCACCTCCCACTCACATCGCCCTTCTTCCTCCGCATGCTCAGCCAGCCCCCAAGCAGCCGGCAAGGAGGGAGGAGAAGGGGGAAGAGAACATCACTTGTTGGAGATTCACATAGTTCCACTAATGACTTCCTCCTCACCACCGTCCTGCCGTGCTCACCCCAATCTGGCCTTTCCCTTCCAGTCACAGCCGCCAACGAGCTGGCCTGCCGAGGCCTGGACCACCTGGAGGAAAAGATCCCAGCCCTCCAGTACCCTCCTGAGAAGGTGAGCCCCTCCCTCTCCCCAGTGCCCCCCACTCCGCTGTGTGCGTGTCTCAGGGAGGGGAGGGTGGGAGGTGCTGGCCCACCGCTGCGAGTCTCTGTGTGTCTGCAGCAAACTCCAAGGCTGGTGGAGGCTGCCCGCTCCTCAGCCGCGCAGCGGGCCCCCCTGCCCCGTGGAGCCCAGTGGAGGTGGGACTTCTGGGACCAGCAGGCACAGCCCAGAGGCAACCTCAAACAGGAGCTAGGCGGGGCCCCATCGCCTCCTACTGTCCTGCCCTGGGACCTGGGCTCCGTAGGCCTGCACTGGATCACTCCGTGGCTACAGGCTGCCCAAGATCATGGGTCACGCTCATTGGGATCCCAGGGTTGCAGTGCCATGTCCTCAAGATCCAACCCTTTGTGGACCATGAGACCGAAAATGTCACTTTACCTGGCTACGTATTTATTGGTAGTTGCTATGGTAGGGGCCCATGTTAGGTGCTTTGGGGGGCTAAGCTTCAGTCTCTGACCTCATCCGTCTCACTGACCAACTACCTGTCCATCCCACAAACATTGAGCCCTGCCCTGTGCCAGGGGCCAGCACCTGTGCTTATAGAGCCCGCTCATTTAATCCTCTTGGCCACCCTCGGGATAGGAGGCTGTTGTCCCCATTTTACAGATGAGAAAACTAGCGACTTCTCCCAGCCACACGGCCTTAAGTGGAGACCACATGGGGGCAGGTCTGTTTGGCTCTGAGGCTTGTGTCTTCACTCCCCATTCTTCCAGATAAAGGGCAATGTCTTTGTCACAAAGGAGCCCCTGGGCTAATGAAGAGAAGGACAAATTATTTCAATGCAGAACTTGTAGGAAGATCAACCACGTCTATAAATCAATACAAATGCAGTGTTCTGAGGAAAGGACAGAGGAAACAGTACAGGACTTGGGAAGAGAAGACGCCTGTGTGTGCAGGAGGGTATCAGGGCAGGTGCCACCAAGGAGGAGGCCTTCGGGGCTGTCCTTGAAGGATGGGTAGGATCTTGACAGGCAGTGATGGGGTGGGAAGAAACCAGGAGACCTGAGCAGTTGGCACAGGGAAGGTTAAAGCCCAGCTTAATCCAAGTGCTCAAATATTGGTGCCAGTCCCCTGGGCCTTTAAAGAAGGCCTTCCTGGGAGCTGGGCTCAGGAAGCGAGACCCCGGAAGGGCAGCCCTTGTAGGACCTGTGAAATTCACATTCCTGACGCCCCTCGACTTCCCCCAGATCGCCTCTGAGCTGAAGGGCACCATCTCCAACCGCCTCCGCAGTGCCAGAAACAGCATCAGCGTGCCCATCGCGAGCACTTCGGACAAGGTCCTGGGGACTGCTTTGTCCAGCTGCGAGCTCGCCTGGGAGGTGGCCAAAGACACTGCAGAGTATGCCGCCAACACCCGAGCGGGCAGACTGGCCTCCGGAGGGGCTGACTTGGCCTTGGGCGGCATTGAGAAGGTGGTGGAGTTCCTTCTCCCTGCGGCCAAGGAAGAGTCAGGTACCCGTCTTTATGGAGCGGGTGGCCGCTCACGCTGCCTGGGGGTCAGCAGGAGGCCGCGAGGGCTCATCCAGCCACCGCTCTGGGCTCTGGAAGAGGGAAGGCCCAGCGGGGTTTTCAGATGGATCCGTGGTCATGTAGCCCTGTGTCCCCATCTGTAATAGTGGATTGCACAAATCACCAGTGAGTTGGCGGTGGAACTAGGACAGCGGCTTTCCAGCCCTAGACACCGCCCAGATTTCCCCAGCCCCTCTCCGATCTGTTTTCTCTACTTTCCCCCCACATCCCTACCCAGCCCCTGCTCCTGGACACCAGCAGGCCCAGAAGCCTCCCAAGGCCAAGCGGAACCTCGTGAGCAGAGTCGGGGCCCTGACCAGCACCCTCTCTCAGCACGCCATGCAGACCACAGGCCGGGTGCTGAAGCAGGGCCACGCCCTGGCCATGTGGATCCCGGGTGTGGCGCCTCTGGTGAGTGTCTGCCCCGAGCTCTGCCTGACCCCACGCCCGAGAGTCCTGTGGGCCTCCTGGTCCCTTCCATCCCCCACCTGATGCCCCCTCCTGTCCTGGGAACGTTCTCTCTTCCAACCTGGTCAGGGGCTCCAGGTTCAAGGGCAAGAGGCCTTAAGAGGAGTGGAGGGCTAGTCCTCCCGGCCACAGGGGGAGAGAAGGGAGAGCAGTTAGTCAAGGGCAGGCCCGCCTTGCTAGGGTGGTCCTGCCCCGCCACTCCCTTCTGTCTCCCCTCTTCTCGGAGTCTGCCCACTGCAGCCTTCGTCCCCTCAAGTGGCCTCTTGCTGTGGGCCCTCCCGCCTACGAGGGAGCAGAGACCCCCACCTGCTGTCCTAGGGAGTGTCATCCTCAAATAAACAAAACACAAAACCTGTTTTGTCAGGGAGAGAGCCTTAGTTGCCCCCAGGTTTTTTAAATGTCCCTTCTAGAGGCTTCTAATTTCCATTCCCACTGCACCCAAGGTAAGCTGCCTTTCTAGGCCCAGGTAGGGCTAACTCTCCACAGCTGCCCACCCCTGCCTCTCTGTGTATTGTAGCAGAGACAGGCTGGATTTTTTTCATAAGGAACTTTAATAAGAAAGTAAGGCCAAAAAATGGAATAAAAACAACATGAAGGCATAAAGGCAGCAAGCAAGACGACTACTTTTCAACCATCATTTGAGTGGTACTTTTAAAAAGCATCACCATGCCTGGATCTTCCATTCAAGCAAATCCCCTGGTAGGGGTACGGGAGGAATAGTTCCCCTTTGTCCCCTGCACCGAGGATCACCTACCAGTAAGGGCCGAGACCGACTCATGCGCCCTGGCCCGGCCTGCAGTGGGCAGAACCTCAGGCGCCACCATTCACACACAATGGAATTGTGTCCTAAAAGCTGTGTCATAAGGAGGGCCTTTCTGTGGGCGCCCTATAGGTTTGGAATGAACCAAGCTATGCCTCAGCCCACCCGCCCGCCTGCTCAGTCGGTTTCCTCCCACGGGACACTGAGGCCCACTTGCATTTCTCATTTGTTAAAGACCTGTGAGGAATATCTACTAAAGCCAAACACGCATATACCCTACGGCCCAGCAATTCCACTCCTAGGAGGATGCCCAACAGAAACGTGCACTTACGTATCCCAAGCCACGCCCAAATGTTCACACCAGCTTTATCCTAACCAAGAGCTGGAAACAGTGAGAATGTCCATCAACAGTAGAATGGGGGCCGGGCACAGTGGCTCACGCCTGTAATCCTAGCACTCTGGGAGGCCGAGGCGGGAGGATTGCTCGAGGTCAGGAGTTCGAAACCAACCTGAGCAAGAGCAAGACCCCATCTCTACTATAAATAGAAAGAAATTAATTGGCCAACTAATATACATAGAAAAAAATTAGCCGGGCATGGTGGCACAT